AAAGTACCTACTTATTCCTGGGAAGAGCAAAAGAATCCTCGGGCTTTTTAGCATCATCCCACTGCCACCCGATTTCACTGTACATTACAGCTAAACACAGAAATATTGCCTCCTCTAATTCTTTACCATTCCAACTTCCTTGAAACACTGATGCACCTCGTCGACCCATTCAGGAAACTGTTCACAGCATTCTCTTCCTCATCATCCAGCAGTAACATACCAGAGGAGCATGCACAGCCAAAAGAGTTGACCATTTCGATTTTCAACTTCTTTGCCTTCCCTAAGTCATCACAAGCATTAACAGCATCCAACAACACCTCGTAGTCGACTTAAGAGGCCAACAGACTTTGACCGAAACATAGACAACCAGCAGTCAGCAGCCCATCTCTGAAGTGAGGCAGAAGCCAAAGAACCGAACCATTACCATCACCATTGTGCACATCCTGATCAGGATATAGATGCCGAGTCCAAAGAACCAAACAAACAGGAAAAACATCTGTAGCCATAGGTCCTGTCATCACTTTGCCTCCCCAAGCTTTCCATTGCAGCACTCCCTCTGTCTGAAATAGATTTATATTTAAGATTGAAAGAGTATTAACTTTAGTTGAATAACTCAAATTAAGATTCTATGATCTCCGTATGTACTAAATAAATGGACTATCAAAATATTAACAACCTATAATAGGTTACATAGATATTCCTCCATGACCATTTGATAGTAAATTCTTTCGGCCAACCTATCAATTAACTATGCTTTTGAATAGATGTCAAATTGTTTTTTTTTTCTCTCTTTTTCTTTCCAAACCGATGTTGTGAAAATAAAAAGAGGGAAAAGAGTACCGAATATTCGTACCAACAATAGTGTGAAATGCTAGTTATGTGATTCTCTTAGTTTCTGGAAACCATTTTTTAAGTGAATTTGAAAAGAAAATATTTTTTTGGCCTTTTCCTACTTTATAAGGTATCATAACATGAATAAGATGAATCTCAGAATCTGCCATCTATGTTTTTCTTTTTCTTTTGAAAAAAAAAAAAGATTTGCATGATCCAACCTAAATTGACTAATAAATTTACCATTAAACCTTTCATAAATATTGCGTATAAATTAATTAAACAAAAGGAAACCACTTGTATACTCAACTGTTCATGAACAATTAAACAAGTAGTTCAATAAGGCAATATTTTTGAAAACAAATGTTAAGACTTAAATTATTGTTTTAATTATCTTACAAAATACTCCATACTATCAAAATAAACAGTAAGGTTTAGTCTAAGGCAGCCTCTTTAAAGGCTGTTCAAGCCCAAGTAATTAAAGATTCAACCTGATTCTTTCAACGAGGAACAATCGTCCAAAATGAGAGAAAAGAAAGTCAAGTGTCTGGATCCGAAGCCTACTTTATTTCTGCAAAATATTTCAATAAAATGGGCCCCGTGCCCACTTTTCAACCTATGTTGAGCAGAAAGAACAGAACACTAGCAAATATGCTACAGTTAATTTGAACCCCAAAGCAGATGACAGATTATGCTATCTAGTTCGTGCAGTAATAATAGTAGTGGCGGAGGGAGCTGGTTAATTTTTACTGAGGATTAAAGATGAAGAAAAAATAAAGTTAAAAATTTTTAAAATTAATATGTTGAAAATAATTATTAATAATTAAATATTTTATAATAAATAATAATTTTATATAGTATATAAATTAAAATAAAAAAAATTAATAAGAATCTTTTAAAAAGTTTTGATTGATGATTATAATATTTTTTTCAACATAAACAATTAAATTATTTGTAACAAACTTATCATTTATTTTGTTTGAGAATTTTGTCTTTTTTGATATAAATAACTAAAAAATTAATGTAATCAATATCTAATATTCTTATGTTATTCTATTTAAATTTAAAATACTAAATATTAAATTATAATGTACAAAATATAAATAATTAAATATGATATACAAAATTAAAAAAAATTATATAATTAGGATTGTTTAAAGATTAAATACTTAAGATAATTTTCTTTCAACTAAATATAAAAGACAAAGCGCATTAAAAAAATATACTCAAGATAATTTTTTTAATATAATTAGGATTAATAAAAAATAATATATTAGTGAAATTTTAGACAATAATTAATAATACAATGCTATAATTGATATTTAAGAATTATATAATAATTTTTTTAATTTTTAAATATTAAAATCATTAAAAATAGAATTCACATAACAGAAAAAAAAAAGAACATAAAAAATAGAAGATAGAATTTTAGAAAAAAATATTTATAGAACTTAGAAAATATGAGTAAATAAATTAGAATTGAAATAAGTAAATAATAATAATATAAATAATAATTAAAAAAATTTATCTTTTGTAATTTCATAATAGAAAGACAAAAAAAGAAAGAGGAAAAGAAAGAGAGGGAAGGATGTGTAGAGAAACTTAAAGAGTTAAAAAAAATTTTAAAAATTTAAGTAAAATTAAATAAAACTTGTCAGATTATTTTATTATTTATATTAAATTTTCAATAAAAAATATTTTTAAAAGGTTATTAAAAAAACATATAATATGTAAAAGTTATAAAAATTTTGGGGGCCATGGCCCCGAAACAAAGAGACGCTCCGCCCCTGGTAACCAACTTTTCTATCCCAAAAAACCAATCCCATTAAATATTCAGTTGAAAGAATAAACCCAGCATCATCCACAGAAAAAGGGTAACCCATTCAATGGACAAATTGGCAATAGTTAAGTTGCTTTAGTGCGGTGTATGGTTTCTGGTTCTATATGCTGTTCAATACCAGATGATTCCTGTTAAAATGGTAGTTTTTCCAGAATGCTGAAAACGGTTAGTACTATTGTAATAATCTTACCCCTCCAGGCTCTTCCCCTGATAGAAGTAGACCAGTCTATCAAATCTAGACTACAAGGAACTCCTGTTGCTGAAATCCACATGTCACCATTAATAAATCTGCCAACTTGTAACTTGATTGGCTTCTATGGAGTCAATGACCCTGAACCCTTTCCATTTTACTGTGGTTTCATCATATTCTTCAAAAGTAGAAATCCAAACTCGAGCCACTGTTGTTCCAATCCAGCCAACTTGAGGATCAATAATATAGTCCAGGTAGCTATCCATGACAACTGTTCTGGCAAAACCTGCCAAAGTAGGTTCTCACGGGATACTCTGACGCACTAAAACATAAAAATATCCCAAATTTCATCGCCATATACTTCACGTCCCATATACTCTGACTGAATAAGCACATTTTCTCTCTTTTCCAGTTTGACCCTTGACCTTGAGTCCACATTTCTTTGTACTTTAGCCCTGCATGAATGTATATATATATATATATATATAACTTTAATTACCCCCGGCTTATTTTCTGCACAAAGTTCATGAACTTGTCTGAGTCAATTTAATCGGTTGAGCGTGAGCATGTTACTTGATCTTGTTTCCACGTTCGTGAAGAAGATAAAAGTTATATATAATATATGTCTATATATGTCCAGGAAGACTCTCCTTAAGAACCTTCTAAATTTGGAAGGTGATGCATTAACAAATATTCACATGTCAATTTTTGATATCACTTTCATGTTATGTTACTCTCGGTAGTAACATGCCGATTTTTGCAAGAATCAAGTAGACAAGTACAGCATCTGACATGAAAAATCATCATCCAAGCCCATAAATATTCCAACCAAGCCAAGCATAACAATGACTGGAGCCTGTTGTCAATACGTAAATACAGAAATCAGAGTAGCCAGGTATTGCCTCTACAGTCATTTACACATGTGAGATGATCAACTTAAAAATTGGGTTAAACTTAATATAGCAATGAAAATTGCAAGATAGTGATAAACTTGTACTGTAAGTAAACTTTGAATTTCTAGTCATTTTAACTGACCATGGAATAAGTTTCTTTCAAATCTGTTTTACTGTACATCCTTTTTTGATCCTAGCAACAACTTTAAGGGAGACATAAATTTACAACCACTGATCAGTTAAAAAGAACTTTAACGTCGCTCCTGGCTCTCCAATACATGCCCTCTCAGCACTTCAGATTAGAAATGCTTCAAATATATTTTCTTTCAGTTGGGGGATTAAAAATCATGAACTGCTTTATCATTATATTGTTTTTGTTCTACATAATGACAGGCAAAAGAAGCTAACATTTTGAAGATAAGGGATAACTGTAGCTTACATTTGAAAAGTTTGGTGTCAAGCAGAGGCTCGGTTCACCCTTCTTTTTGATATGGTTTTAGCGCATGATGGAGCAGTAACTTACAAACCTTGAATATGGCTATTTACAGGAAAGATTCTCCATGCAAAAGTAGCAACTGACGGTCTTGATATTGATATGAAACTGAACTGAACAAACAATTACTGAAAAATGTGATCATAACTAGCAAAATTTCGGACATTTGGCCTGACCTTGGGAAGAAAGTTCTTTAAAGTTTGTTGTCCATCCTTTTCCATCTCGTAACAAAGAAAAAAAGGATGTCAAAATCTAAAGGCGTCTTTATCTTTGCTTCCATATGCCTGGTTTGGTTGCAATTTCAAAAATTCTTCTTCCACACACAAATTAAGACCATGATAAAGCAATGAAGCAGACAATGTTTCTAGCTATCTTGACAGTATCGTGGCAAGCCCAGGGTCAGTCCACTCCACCCTTCGACATGATCATAGCTCAGGATGGATCAGGAGATTTCACCACCATCACCGAAGGAACATCGGCTGCTCCGAGCTTCAGTTCCACTCGGTTCTACATAAAATTATCAGAAGGTGTTTACAATTAGAACATTGTCATTAACAAGGAGAAGACCAATCTGACAATTATTGGGGAGGGGATGGAAAGAACTATTATCACAGGCAGCAGAGGTTATGATGATGGCATAAAAACGTTCGAGACTGCAACAGTGGGTAAGTAAAGTTCCGTAGTTATAGACTTGAGAAGCAAAAGACAACAGTATTAGAATATTTTGACTTCTTTTTTGTCAAAACTTCTTTCATGAACCATGAGCATATGAACGAGATCAAATATCATGCTAATGAATGCAAGGACACATCAAACCATGTAAGATACAGCCAACATTTACATATCAATTTATCAGAGATAAATGGCGATGGCTTCGTTGCTTCGGGTATAACTTTCCAGAACACTGCTGCCCCAGGGAAACAGCAAGCAGTGGCGCTGCTAACTAAAGCCAGCTTCTTGACCTTTTACAAGTGTAGAATAATTGGGTTCCAGGATACGCTATATGCCGAAAGAGGATACCAGTTTTTCAGAGAGCGTGAGATCTCCGGGACCGTGGATTTCATTTTTGGTGATGCAACAGCCGTGTTCCAGACTTGCTACATATCCGCTCGGAAGCCACTAGCTGGGCAATCAAACACCGTGACAGCTCAAGGACGAGAAGTTTCCGCAGGAAAAGGAGGCTTTGTGATCCACAACTGCATAATAAGTGCAACTTCAGAATTGATTGCATCTGAGTATACTGCAAGAACCTACTTGGGCAGGCCTTGGAGAGACTTTGCTAGAACTGTTGTTATGCAAAGTCACCTGGACAACAACATTGATCCTCAAGGTTGGCTCGAATTTGACAGCAGAAGGTCAGACCTGGAGTTATAATATGCAGAATATGGTAACAGAGGTCCAGGTTCAGCAACATATGACAGAGTGAAATGGAAAGTATTAGGGTCATCGACTCCGCAGAAGCTTATCAATTTACGGTCAGGGAATTTGTCGATGGTGACATGTGGATTCCAGCAACAGGAGTACCGTATACTTCAGATTTCATAGACTGCTCTGGTTCTCTCAGGCGGAGATTCTCCAAGTGTAAGGTTTTTGCACTCGTTTTCAGCATTCTGGCAACACTAGCAATTTAGAATCAATGAAGCGTTGCGTTATGCTCAGGATGTAGAACATTATACAGCAACTTATATATTGTTGGTTAAAATCGATTCTTCCTTTCTTACTCAGAAGAACCCTTTCCCGCTCTCGTTCGGCTAGGAGGGCATAATCTGTTTTGTGTTGTATGTTCAGTGGGTTTGGAGGGCACTAATAATGTTATTGGTAATACATCATTAAAAGTAAAAATCATGTAGGAAATTTGCTGTTCTGCTTGTAAGTGTGATCTTAAATTCCGTATAATCATATAATTAAACTAAGAGGCATTACAATTTACAAATATAACCATGGAAAATAAAAAAGATGGAAAGAACTTTGGAGGGGTCATGGCGGCAGCGTATAACGGCCTCCAGGCATCCTTTGGAAAAATAACGTCTGGAGCGAATGAAACATTGATATCTTCAGCGAGACGAGCAAGATGCAACACAGCATTATTTTGATCAGTAAAAGGAGATGGTCAGTTTGTTCTGGTCTTGGTCCGTCAGAGAAGGACTCTTCACTAAGTCTTTGCACATCCAGCCGAATCCTCTACGTTCCCTGTCGCCTCTGCATAAAACTTTGATTCCAAATTTTGGATGGCTCGTGGAAGTATAACAACTGTAGCATCCGCATAATCTTGAGAGCAAATAGTGAGAATGTCCTTGAGAGCTGGATCTGTTGTTCGACTTAGCAATAGGCCTATTTGAGCTACAGTGTCCTTGGCCCTTTTCAGCGTGGCGTGAAGGACGATATGAGCAGGCCTTTGGCGTCTGCGGTAGAGCTTCGTGGGCCTGATCTTAGAGTAACCAAGCAGAGCTCGGTGTCGTTGCTACCGTTGCAGGTGTCGTCGATCACATCTGCTCTCACCGACATCAAAAACAATAACAAAACTATGAGCAGGACAAAATCTGCCACTTTCAAAGACGCCATCAACGTTTCTTTAAAATACACCAGAAATTGAAAAGCATTGGACCATTGATGCCTACTTATAGAGGACTGCTCAATTAGGAGTATTAACTGTAAGATCCTAGCTAATGCTGTTTCGCTAATACCTACCTTGCAACGCAAGAGATGAAGAGAATTGAACCATGAAAAGGGATAGCAAGAAATCTTAAAATTTTGCCATAACTAATTTTCGAATTTAATGAAAACTGATTATAATAAAGGGCAAACAAAACTGAAATTCCATGAATTAGAGTGGGGAGTAATTTTTTTTGCTCTCTTTTCCCCTAAACTTGACTCCTCAGGACACTGTCCAGCAACTTATCAGAAAATGCTAGAGCATCTCCGTGACCAGATTACTTCGTTTTCATTACATTAACTATCTGATAGGGGGAAAATCAATCAACACGTTCTACTGGAGGCAGGCTAAACCACATTTGCTTGTAGATTCATCATTCTGGATTAGGTTTTTATATCCGGTCTCTTTCTGCAGGAGTATCCCAATTTGGAAGAATTAAGTAATAAACTTAAGTTCCAATAAATGGCTAAACAAACTAAACTATACAATAACTGGAGATTGGCATCCACAATTCATATATGTACAGAAATCAGCATAGCCAGGTATTGCATCAAAATTTGTTTACATAAGATCAAGATTCAAGGATACCACATTGGCAACTTCAGCTATTTCTCCACATCATCTGGCAGCTTTCCTAGTTTCTTCTCTAAGAACTGAACCAGAAACCTGCTGTTCTACCAAGCTGCACCAACACATAACATTCAGAAAATAAATTCCTTGCATTTTATGATCACCATGAACAAAACATGGAGATATTGGGAATGAAGAGTGATAGTGAGAGAAAAATACATACCTAGGAGGATCATGGTCATCTTTTTCAGTTGTAGGAAAGCTTTTGTAAAATTGAACAGAAATCAAGCCTTCACTCGAGCCAACTGCTGGAGCAGGAGACCCCTCTAACAGCACACTAGCACCACGTCTGGAACATATACCTGCACGCAATGTTTGACCGAGAGGTCAGAAATTCTTTGACATAAGGAAAACTTTGGATCGTGAACCTCAAATTTTCCACACAAAGAAGTGGAAGACAACTTTGGTAGCAGTTGGCTGGCACATAAATGGATAGCTAAAGCACTTCTAACGTACATATAATGCTTATGACAATTCACATGAAGACACAGAAGAACAGGAGCAAGAAGCAAACAAGGTTTGGGGCAACAATTTGAGTTAAAGCATGCTCTCCTTGTATGACAATATGCCAACCAAAACTTTCAAGCCGATGTAGCACTGCCATCATGAAACATTTATGACAAGAACTGGAAAAGAGTTATTTTGAAACTATACTTTGTCTATGAATCAACATTTTCAAGCTCGATGACAATGGCTTAAAAGAATTGGTGACATCCAGTTGACCAAAAATGATACAGCAAGGACCAAAACAATTCCCAATATGAAAAGCCAATTATGATAATTTGCTAAGCTGATACAGATCCCTCTAACTAAGTGAAGACAACCTTGGGCGATGTCAACTCACTGACACATTGTTGCTTCTCAATCTAACTTGGAAAATATTAAAACTTCATTTCACTGCTCAAGATTCTCTAAATATAAAATGAAAATCTCATCCTTCTAACAGCAAACAATCTCATATAGCACCCCAAATAATCCTTTACGACATGTTGTGAACAATTTAACATATTACATTCCAGACAAACAAATTAATAGAGAGTAGAGAGTTGACATAGTTCTTTTCCATTGCGTTTTTCCTTTTCTAAGAGTAGGCTTGTCCCTTATAAAAATTTAGAATTTGAAATGTGCAAAATTGCATATAAGTGAAATTGCCTTATTTTGCAGATGATTTTCAAATACTTTGGAAATCTTGGAGGAGTTGAAATTGTTCCATCTTATCCATAGTAGCACGTCAAGGCACAATTATAACTACAACAACCAAGAGTCATATTGTCATTAAACTTGACATGGTTGAAACAGAGAAAGCTCATCAACAAATTTTAAGAATGAAAAAATATTTAATTACACAAATAAGTTTATTCAGCAAGCTAAATCTTTCGCTGATAGTCTAAAGATTAAATGAAATGATACGTTATTCAAATGAAACACAATAAACTAAGTTTGCTATTTGCCAAATGAACATACTTCACCCCTCAGACACAGACTTCCACCATACCTGGCAGTCCATGAAAGTTTATAGTAGACAACATATTTTAACCCGTGCAATTAAGATATAGGCCAAAGATTTTTCTGAGTTAGGAAGAGAATATTTTTTATTTAGGGGTCCTTTCTTGGAACTCAAAAGATGTCAAATACCTTGAAAGAGTATGACAAGGCAAAAGAGAACTGTGATGACCAGAGCAGAAAGGCTACTGCTTGATGATGACACCTTTGCTGCGTTCATCTTCTTCATTGCTTTAATTCGTTTCATCCTAGCACGTTTTCTCATAGCAAGTTCAGCAATCTCCCTCACCAACTTCTGGTCTGCAGCATCCAACAATGGACCTTTTGGAGGCCTTGGTGGCTTGGGAGGCTTCCTGGAGTTTGTCTTCTTACACTTCTCTTCTGCAAAGTTCTTCTCCGCAAGTGCCGCGAGATCATGACTCTCTTCTCCTTCTGAATTCTTGTCTACCAAGAACTCCATATTCTCAACCTCAACCCCACCAAAACTTGGGGAACTACTGCACAAGTTTATGCTGCATTCACCCTTGCCAATTCTATCAAAACTCAAAACATCACTCCAAACTCTACTGAAAGTTCTCTTTGCAGGGCTATTTGATGAAACATGATCTTTGATTTTTTCATCTTCACTGGTAGTCCCACCACTTTCAAGATCCACTTCAACATCTCTTTCTCTGGAAAACAAGTGATCCATTCAAAGAAAGCCTCTAATTCCACCCTAACCTTAAGAACCCTATTTTCCTCTACAGCTAAACTAAAGTTCAGTCCTTGTCTACATGAAAAACTCCTTTCAAATAAATCTCATCCACGGTAGGCCTCACCAAATTAAAAGCAAAACTCTTCGCTCCACAGTCCAAGAAAAGTTTAAAACTTTCTTTTCTATCAAAAGCACAGCCCCTAAACTTTGAGCAATCAATCGATCCTGTAATTGTAAATGCAACATCACATATTAGTAGTTGAAAATATAGGAAAAACAAAAGGTCTATTGAAATTTTCAGCAGCCACATGCAAAAGAGAACTTGGATGACAAAGAGAAGGCAAATTTGAGAGTTGAATGGCGAAATTTCACCATCCGAGACCCGATGGAACAAACCAAAAGAGAAAAGGACTTAAATAGGAAGTAATTATCTATTAACTCCCTAGAAAGCCAATAAAGCTTGAAATTTGAACTTCTTTTTTCTTTTTCTCGGAAACCAAAGATGGGATAACAATCAGTTCCCAGCATCTGCGTTATAATGCAGCTCCAGAAATAGATAAAAACAAAATAAAAAGTAAGGGGAATAAAACCAGGAAATTATTATTTATATTTATTTTTAAAAAAAAGACCTAAGCAGAAAGAACCTTTAAGATGAAAACCCAGAAAACAGGGGAAAAATACAACGCCTACAAAAAAAAAAAAAACATTTCAACATAAACGCAGCGGCACAAGTATAGAAAATTAGAGGAAAAAATGGAATGTACCTCAAGTGAACGAAAATGAGCTTGAATCGATGTCTACAAGGACCATAACCTGAGAACTCATCGTTGATTTCGTCTATCTTTTATCTCCAAACCGAAGCTGGACCATCTCAACACACGCAGATTAATTAATTAATTAATTAATTCCTGGCCTCAATATCTATAAAAACAAAGGGTTTTATATATATATATATATATATATATATATATATATATATAAATATGGTAAAGCACTCAAACTAAAAACAAAGAAAGCAAAGGTCGGGTTTGTTTTGTTTTGGTTTTGTTTGCCGATGGCTTAAAGTCGACGTTGAACGTGTCAGCTTCTACGGGGATGGTTACGGGCAGGTGCCAGTCAATAACAGTGACGTGCACAGCTCACTCTACGGCGAGTACTCAAATATTTTGAAACAAAAGAATACTTCTGTTTCGGTGATTAGATTAGATTATAAATATTGGCCCCAAAAGGATTTAGAATAGATAAAAGGGATTAGGAGGACTTAAGAATAGATAAACTTTGGCTTATAATTGAGTATCCTAGGTTTTTGTTTGAATAAAAGGAAAAAGATTTCCGGATTCCGTCAAATTGTTTTGTTTAAATGGTCTTATATATTTTTAAATTATTTTTATTTAAATAGAAGAAAATCATCAATTAATTATTTAATTTTTTTTTTTTGAAAGATGAGTTTTTATTAATCATAAGTTGAAATGCCGTGAGGAGTCTTTAATGTTGAGATTTGGAGACTCCTATTGGAAGCTATCATAAGAAGAGCCTGTTCTGAACAATTACAAGAGTAGCAGCTGCTCAATGAGCACTTGGCAACATCTCAACACAAATAATTTAAAAAACAAGCAAAGTTCTAGATAAACACAAATGTTAATTTGTTAACAACCATTTAACAACCATTTATCAACACAAATGTCAATTTGTTACAAATTTAAACACACATGAAATCAATTAATGAATTAGTTCGTAACGTTTGTAATGCCTTTGATCCCTAAGCTTATCCTCAATGCAACAAGGAAAGAGATAGTTCCTTAGAACAAGTTGGGCATGCAAGGGAATCTTTCTTTTTTTTTTTTTTTTTTTTGGTTTTATGCTATCTAATCCAAACTTGATGTGCAATCACGTTCTTATGGAATGTCGGTCAATTTCATCCCGTCAATTTCTTAGTTTAAAACCGAAATGGTGCGTTATCCCTTAATTCCAATGTTCCAGAGAGAAAAGAGAAAAGGAGAATAAAGAGTGAACTCTAGGTAGCGAGAAAAAAAAGGAAGATTCAGGGCATCTGCTAAGAAATTAATATTTCACGGTTTAGGTGGGCTTGGTGGTCATCTGTTAGCTACCAAGAAATGAACAAAGATGATAAATCTTGATCTTGATTCTAGCCCAAGCGTCAACGTGAAGAACGTGAAAGAGAAGAATCGAACTGTGGGGTTCAAGCATAAGCAGAAACAAAAAATCAAAGCTAAGTGAGCCCCTATTGCATGTGCTAATCTTTAGATTTTTAGCGAAAGGGTCAAGTTTATGAATGAGACAATATTTAAATGCGCATGAAAATGACTTGGAATATTGGACCACATTAGACTTTTAGATGGGCAAGGTTTAGCGGAAAGACCACAGGAATCAAGCCTGATAAAGGTACGAAAGGGCAGTTTGGTTCCAGCAAACCAGTTCAACAGAAGTCACTGCAACGCTAAACATAACGATGTGCATAGTATGACTCAACATACTTCATAGCTACAAATATCTGACAACACCAATCTTAAAAATAAAACAGTCTGATCTATTTCAGTAGCCTGTGCCCAATTTTGTAAGAAGCATAAGCATCAATACATGCATATTCTATCTGTGAACAGTCAAGAACCCTTGATTGCCAATCACTCCGGCTTACATACATTGGTTTTGGCATTGAAAGCCCCACCACTTGATAAGCAATATCTTTTAAGCCTGGTTTCCTGTAGAACAACAATGGCCAGCGGTTCATAGTCAACTCGCGAGCATCAGCAATACGGGCACATTGAAGCCCATACTCATCCCTCAGCTTTGTTGCATCTCTTTCAACCTCCACTCCAACATAAGTAACATTAGGATCTTGAAGGAAGCTCTTGAGAGATTGGGGAATGTAATCCAAATAGAACAGCTAGAGTATGAGGCACTTGGTTTCAATGCATAGCTGCAAAACAGCTGTTTTGTTGATCAATGTTGATATAGTATTAGGCCTCCATTCAGAATCCAATCCCTCGATTATCTGCTGTCCATTGTACATGGAACGGATGTTGCATACCCATGCATCAGCTACACAAGCCTTATCTGTGACTGTTGTCTCAATGAAGTTGCCTGAAAAGTAAACAAGGTAAGTGTTTGGGTTCAATGCCAATGTGTTTGCCATTCTTACCCTGTGCTAAGATTCTTCTGTTTCTCTCTTCGTTGGAGTTCTTTCTATAAAGCCGGGAAGCGGAAGAGGTTGGGTGTACTTAGATGGGAAGACCAAAAGTCTCACAGATACCTCTCAAACTTAGGTTCATACATCTGCTCGATAATCCAAGAAAAAGATTTAATAGGAAAACAATAAATTGCAACAATTGCTGCACCTATACTCATTGGAAACTGCGAATAGGTACTTGATAGACATGAACTAGGTTTCGACCTTGTCGTGAATAATTTCTTTGGAAGAATGAATAAGTTGTTAGTAGAAGCTTTGAATCTTGACTCACTACCAAATTAATGTCACAGCTGCCTGCATTGGGCAATGGAAAAGACTCCCTGGGAACTGAGAATCATATAGAGTTGGATGCAGGAGGGCACTGATAATTGGAAAACCAAGTCCTGTTAGAATTGATCTTATCTGCAGCTATAATTTGACTTCTGAGTTTCGACAAAAATGACAGGGAAACTCCCATACTTCCACCGACCAAATTTACTTGCTTTGTTGATTCAACAAGTAAATGTATACACTACTGCAAAAGTGCCAATCATTAATTTACTGTGTAAGATTTAATTAAGCAGATAAATGATACTGGCCAGAAAGGTGTAGAATTTGAGAGGAAGTAGCTCCATGAAGAACCCGTAAACAAAACATTAAAGCTAACTTAAGATCTTGGTACAGTTTATAACGCGATTTGAAGATATAAATATACGCTCCAAACGATTTATCGGGTACTAGCAGGAACATGTCAATTCCCTCTATTACAACGCATTATTCATGAGGTTCTGTCAAGGCAAACAAAATGTAGAAACGCAGCAAGAAATCCTTCACATCTCTCTAACAAGATTGTGACCAATTCTGTATGAAGCGTATGCATCAATACATGCGAACTTAACCTGCTCCACATCAAGAAACCTATAATCCATGTTATTTTGGCACTCATCGTCATTGGTCTAAATGCTCAGGTGTCTCGTTTGTTTTAATTGGATAGCAAAGTCTTTTCTAAAGCATTATATAATATTTATCTCATAAACAAATATATAAAAGTGAATAAAATTACTTTGAGATCAAAGTTCATTTCACTGTATCATTAATTCATAAAAAGCTATGTATTCTTCTATTTTAAAAGTAAATTTCGAGCTGCTTCTAAGCAACTCACACATTCATTGCAGAAACTACAAAACAAAAGAGAGTTTCCCCACAGCTCCCGCACAGAGCTTGCGCTGGAATGAGACTGAGCGCTATCCAGATAATAACTTGCTCTCAATCTTGAAGTAGGCAAAAGGATTAGCCACAGCATATTTAATCTGCTTCTTGTTAAGACGGATTTTACCCTCGTCACTAAAAACTACGCCGATGAGCTTCACTGAATCAACCATATGACCCAGAAAGTCCACCCCACAAGCAGCCAAGCGAGGCATTTGCATACCGCCGGCGGCCAATGGTCCCAATAACCCGGCATTATTGCATCCTAGCCCATATTCTTTCTCTAACTTGGCAAGAGTTTCTTTGATTCCAATGCCCACAAATGCAAGATCTGGCAGTTGAGGAAAATTGAGAGATATGGGCATTGAATCAAGAGAAGGAAGCTGAATTACAAGACATGTAACACCACCACCACCACAAAGTTGCAAAATTGCCACTAGGCTTTTCATTTCTGAATCTTCTCTCACGGTACGTTTTTGTCTAGGTCAGTGACTCTTCATTCATTGTACCGTCCCCATGACTGCCTACGTGGTAATCTTGAGTTTCTTCTGAATCTTCAATCATGGTCCGTTCAATATCTAGGCCAATCACTTTCCTCGCATTATCCCTGTTGGACAAGAAGTTCCGCATGTGGCAATCGGCATCTGATTCCCTTCTCGTGACAGTAATTTCAATTGTAGTGTCACCCAGGCAAACAGACATTTGAGTTGGCATCTTCGAGAAGGAACAAGAACTACTGGATTAGTCTGAATTTGGTACTTCATAGTATACATAAATATAAACACTACATATAGATGAATTAATACGCTTACAGGCATTCAGCTGGAATTGGGAATTTTGAAAGTTTTTCTCCAATTTTTGTGAATGGACATAAATCCCACTCGCTACGAAGTTGATGAACTCAAGACGGGTCATGATCATCCCAGTCTTCGAATATGGGCAGGTGATCGTAACCATAGTCCTTTCGGAATTTTCACAAACCCGCCCACATTTAAAATTTCGAACCGAACCTTTAAAGAGTCCAAAACCCAACAGACAAGGTCAATGACATGATAGCTTTGCCCTCATTGAGTACATTGTCGATTTCCCGCATGGTAAGACTTGGCCCAGCACTAGTCTACGAGCTTAGAGTAAAAGCTCTAATAATTCCAACGCCGGCGAAAGCATTGTACAAGTAGTTTATTCAACGTCAACAAATATTCTTTTTATTCAAATTCTAACACACAATTACATTCCTTCCTTTTAAAGAGAAAAAAAATCAATAATGATCAAAAAAGGATGGAGATATTGGGAGCTCTGCACTGCATTTGGAAAATCTAGAACTGATAGCTCTCTATCTTTATAATTGAATGGAAAAAATTAGGGAACCACAAATTCCTGATAATACTATGCAGGCATGCACTTGTAAAACTTAAAACGTTGTACCTTGTAAACAAACCTTAAATCCTTAATCATCAAAGCCAAAAGAGGTTTCCAATTTCCAGTAGCAGTGAACCAATTCAGGCAAATACTTGACTTCAACCAACCAACCCAAATACCAGAAACGCCCAATTACTTGAGAACTAATAAGAGCTCCATGTTTCATGTCCAGGTTTTCTGACCTCTTCAAACCAAAACAATTGTGATAACACCCAAATTACTTGAAAGAGAAATTAAAACCTGGCAACTACCTGGAGAATTGACACCCCGATAGTCCACAAATAACACATTATGTGATACCCACTATTGGTACAATCACAGCAGAAGCACACAAAAACAAATAATAAAAAACAAAATGGAAGAAGTGTTGGTGCTGCCATCTAAAATGAAGAGTCCATTACTTAATGCAAATCAACAATCATTCAAGGTTTGTTTCCAAATATTACTACTCTAACTAAAATCCCAAAACTGCATCTGACTTCCTTAAATAAAGAAGTCCTGGGCAGAGCCAAGTTATCAAATTGAAATTGGAACTACAATAAAACATCAAAGGAGTAGCAGTGTTCCCTTCTTAACTCTGATACAGAACCATCATACTTACCTAGATTTGAGCTCACCATCGTATTACTCCCTACCCGACCAAGATTTGGTGGACCCTGAAAATTTTTGGAGAAAAGCTTTAAACTAATTCAAAAGAGGAAAGAAAATCAGCAATACCCACAAAAACAACTCCACTAACTGTCATCCTAACAAAGTAAAACTCTAAATTAACAACCTAAACCCTCTAATAATCTTTCAAACAAGTACCACAAGAGAATTAAAACAATTGGATTTTCTCATCCACATCCCAAGTGCGACATCTCATGCAGCAAGAAACTTGCCATATATTTGGACAAGATCAAGAACAACAAACGATTTGTGCAAGAAAAGAATGAACAGAATCAATGATCTTTTCCCTTTATTAACTAAAGAGTGAGATAACTCACCAAAACAAGCCCAGTATACTGATTTAGTATCGATTGTAAGCTTTCCCAAAATCTTCACGCCTCTGACGTTGAAACTCACCATACGAGTCATGAGGCCTAAGGGGATAATTATCCATAGGATTTGGGTACCTGCCCCTTGAATCAATAGGTAAACTAGCTCCAGCATAAGGAGCATTGACTGTTGAGCCATCATATTCAGAATAAGCCTGCTGTTTATAAGCACCAAAGCCTGAAGCAGTCATTTGTTGCCGGGCCTGTTGCTGACGCCTTTGGGCATCCAATTGAAGAAATTCCTCCCACTGCTTATTTTGTGTGCCCCTTAACATAGCCAGTTTCTTGATGTAGTTCTCTCTCATCTCCTTGATAGTCTAAAATTTGTAAAACCACAAGTAATAAAATCAGAATTTCCATACTGACACAGCAAACAGCAGAACGGCTCTCCCTAGATGATTTAATGAGGAAGGCCACACAATAGCAGTTCTTTCTTCTCGTTCCCCAGTGTAACAGCAGTTCGTAAAGAAGCATGAACTTAACTTTGTAAAAGAGGTTAGATAATTCAATGTGACAGCACCCGGACACTGATAGATACCTCATATTGCCATCTCAAACATTCAACCCACACCATAAAAGCCCATATACAATCTAAATGGTGTACAGCATTCCATGAACATAAAGAATCTAAAAGGCATACAGATTAGCCCTAGAAGGATGCATAAGAAGGGTATAGACATAAGAGAACTGAGGAAGAAATCCATACAGTACTCCAGAGATATGTCCTACTACTAAACAAGAAAGAACAAAATCCTTCTCCTTTTTGGCTTTTACAATTTCGAACTTCATGGCGTTCATTGCAGTTAATTAATGGCTCAGAAAATTACAATCAACTTAGATCCTCGAAAGTCCAAAATATTTAGCAAATCCCAGAAAGATCTAGGATTGCCAAATAAGCCAGTTAGCACCAAAAGCACACACCACAGTCAAACAAGATAAATATCTTACCTCCCGGTGCTTATAATTCTCTTCGTCTTCTTCCTTATCACGAATTCTCCCAAGTTCCATTGCCTCTCTCTTATATTCCAACTCCAACTCATCTAACATTTGAGGGAAGGCAGGGTATTCAAACTGATTGCCAGATTGCAAATCAGATCCCCGTCTCTCAGTATCCCATGCATCAGTTCTATAAGGCCCCATGTTTTGATTATGACCATCATAGGAATTATATGAGTTGCCAGCATAAGGTAAACGGCCTGGAGATTTAGAGTGGCTTGAGCGACTCCTAGCTCCATCATTACCATAAGCTTCATGAAATGAAGAGTATGGTAAGCACTTGATTCGAATGCTAACATAGATGAGCGTTTAACTAGGCATACTATCTTATATTCACAAAGTGAACCCATCCGTTGCAATCCAGAAATGCTTTCAGTAAATAAGTTTGTTTTGGAGACAATCCATTCAATTCGGACCAACTCTTGACATATACTTCAGAATCGCACACAAAATGCTTGAACATAAGGACTTACCTCTTGCTGCAAACAAATAATAACCAATAAGCAGCATTATAAAGATTCACAATCAGGAAAAATTTATGCTACAACACACCCGAGCATGGGATTACCAGCTTTCTATGGATGCCGTAAACATATCGTATGCTGTCCCTACCTTGTGGAGAACGTCTAGAAAATTTCCGCAGATCCTCACGGACACGATCTTCCAGAGTCTATCTTGCCTGCCAAATCTTTGTTGAAAGTGTGCTGAATTATGTGGCCCTGAATGAGCCCTCTGTGATTCAGGGCGTCGCAACCGTGCACCAACAGGACTTCGCTCAGGTGACCTGGATCTGCTCCTGTGAGAACTAGAAGAACCCCTTTGATCACCTTCATCCTTTACTTTGTGTACAGCATCCACACCCTTTTTCAATATTAACCTATCCTTGCCCTGACGGTTATAAATTTCTCATCCATTTTGATTTTGCAACCAATATCCTTTTCAATCCTCTGTATAACTTTCTCCGTGAAAAGTGCTCTTACATGTGGTTCTCTGGCAGGTACCCTTTCAAAGAAATCCTGAGACTTGCGATTGGCTCCAAGGGTGGATGGACAACCCTATAAATGTGTCAAACAGCACAGCAAAGTAAGTTCTGCAAAATTAAACAATCATAAAAATGATATTCTACCTCCTTTAAATAGGGATGTCTACCATTACTTCAATAAGAAAGTGTGAGCTAGGGATCAAGACCGATGGCTAAAGTATTTAATTAATACTCTCAAAACAGGCATCAAAGTGGATTTCACTCAAGTCAGGTAAAAGTTGGCAAGTAAAAGGCTTAGGAGGACCTCAATGCCACTCAGTAGCTATAAAGGAAGATTAAAAGGTGCCACTATTTGACAACATAATATGAACAAAACCATGCTGTCCTGCTCCTCTGACTAGAAAAGAAAATCACAGCTACCCATCAATTAAATCTGCTGCAATGGCACAAAGCAAAAATTTCTGGTTGGGGGGGATTTACATATATGTGTGCAGGAAATACGCTTACACATTACATACAGATGATTCATGATATCCATTAATGAAACAACTAATGATACATTTGTATAGAAATAAGGATAACTTGGTAGGTAATACCTGAGTAAAGTGGCCTGATTCTCCACATATTTTGCAAATCATTTCTTCTTCTTTCCTCTTCTTCCAATTCCTCTCAGTAGCCTTAGACTTAGCCTCCCAAACCTTAGCTTCCCGGCTGGTGAAATCAGTGGGCACAGCATTGGGGTCACGCTGTTCCTCTTCCTCATCGGAACCAGCATGAGAACGTTTATTCTCTTTCACCCTATCTTGTGCCTTGGAAACTGTAGACCCCGGGGGCCCAGTGTATTCCTTGTAAATTTCACTGAAATCATCATCGATATCCGGGTCTGGTCTGTTTGCCATTGATATTAAAAGAAACTAACCATATATAATTTCCTGCGTAACAAATTCTCTCCATCAATACCCACTATCTGGAAGTAACCATTTAAGGAGAACAAAATATATAGGGAACATTTTCAATTCTAACAACTGTTTTCAGCTTTTGAATAGCCATCTTACAATCTATTTATAAAAACGCAACACTACAGATATAGAAAATTAATTCAAAGTAGCAAAAAGAAAAGAAAAAACAATTAGCGAAGGCACGATAACTGTGACATCGTAATATCATGTAACTGGAATCAGTTCAAGGAAATGAAAAGGCAGTAAACAAAAGAGAAAAGGGGATTCATACCGGAAAAACGAAGGTTTTGAGCGGCGAACAGTGCTGCGACGAGGAATAGAAAACTGCTAGGGCTGGGACCTTTCCTTCTGTATGTGGAAATAGCTTCGCTTCTTTTATAAATATTTCATTTCTACCTCTCTTTTTCTGTAGAATTTTCATTTTAAACCCCGCTTATTTGAAATACGGGTTCCCCACCCGTCTTTTTCCGTTTTCCTCTTTCCTAGTATTTCTCTTTTGGCTATATAACTACCCTTTTTATCTTTATACAATTTCAAATTTTAGGATCTCATCCTTCACTTGTCCCAATTCGGGACCCAAAATTTCCCTATTCTTTCAATTCAGGCATATATCCGTAACGATTGTCGGCGCGTACTTACATGCCCCGTCATCATTGATAATTGTCAAACAAACCGCATGTAACATGCTGATGTGGAAATTTGCCAATAAAAATTTATACTTTTTTATAAAAAAAATTGGAAAATTAACTATAAAATGAGAAGAGCTTGTTGCAATTCAAGGCTAACGCTTCTCCCAAAAGCAAGAACCATAAACAAAATAATTACAAACATTTAACATGCAATTATCATGATTAAAATTGAAAAGAATTTGAGAAAAAATATATATATATATAGATTCATTCCATACCAAAACCAATCAAGATAATCTTCAAATACAAATATTCAAATTAAGATAAAAACTAAACTCACAAAACGCAATCCAAAAATTCACAAAATTTAAAAGCCCAAGTTTCGATTAATCAATATATAAAAGTATATTTTTTGTAAAAAAATTTATTGATGAAAAATAACTTTTTGCTTGTTATATTTTCAAATTTTCATTTGTCATTTTAAATAAAATTTAATTATTATATTAAAGTTTGAATGCTGAAAGTTTTTTAGTGACAAAAATAGATCTTTATACTCATTATATTTCTAAATTTTCATTTACTGTTTTTAATAAATTTTAAATTATTATATAAATAATATTTATGATTATATGTAATAGTATTAGACAATAATTGAAATCAAAGACATAAACAATATTTTTACTTGTTATATTATTAAATTGGGATTTGCCATTTTAAATAATATTTAATTATTATGGAAATAATATTTACAATTATATATAATAGTACGAGACAATGATTGAAATTCAAACTTAAAAGTAGCCACTAACCCTAATTTAATTTCTAATTTTCTATCTTAAAAGATATTTTTACTCATTGTATGTCTAAATTATCATTTTTTGTTTAAATATATACAATTGTGCATAGTAGTATCAAATAGGATTACAATCCAAATTAAGAAGTAAATGCACTTAATAATTGAGATAAAGTCTAATATTATTTCTACATGGTCATGTTAAATATTGTTTATAACAAAAATTAATAATATCAATTCAATTTATATATAGTATTGAATTACTTTATAGTAAAAATATTTCTCTTAAATTTAATAACACTGAATTCTTTATAAATTAATATAAAAAATTGATTCATCTATACTTCAAATTTTATTATTAAAAATATTTATATTTTATACAAATTTTAAAATAAGAATTGTTCACGCAAATACTAATACATAAATATGATGTATTTTTCCTCTGTACCCGAAAAAAAAACCTATGGACTAATGTCTACTTGCTTCTGGACCCAGCCCATCTAAAGGGAAGAGAGGGTCCATTTCAAATTATTCACCTTATTCTCCCCATCTTCTTGTCTACTAACCGAGGAACTGCTGCTATTCCAAGTTTCCGACCTTTTTCCTCAATAATTTTTTTTTTGGGCGGTAATCTCAGGCTCCGAATTTATGCACATGGTTTTTCCTCGTATTTACTCCGCCAATTTTTTCTAGGGTTTCGAACCAATCGTCAGCATAGATGGAGAGGCACAGAGACCGCGGAGAACGGTTCAACGATCACCAACCGTTAAATCCAACTCCTTGGTTTTCTGATGACCACAGACCTAATTTCTCCTCCGACCACCATCACCACCACCACCACCACAACCACCACAATCACCATTACAACCACCACCATAACCAACAGCAATTCGAACACCAACAGCCTAACCAACACCACCACTTTGAACAATTCCCCGACCACCATCAACCTGGCAGTGAACAAAACGAAGCGTTCTGGTCCAACGGTGGCAACGGTCCCAATTCCGGTCGAAAGAGAGGGTTTCATTATTCCGGTCGAGGAGCTTCTCCAGGTACCGTTATATTACTCTTTAGCTTTATTTCTTTTTTCCCTTTTATTCAACTCTAAGAATTAATGCTCACTTAGGTTGCGTCCAATTGCCCCTTTTTCAATTATATTTTCATTTTTATCCATTGGAGGAGGTAACTAAAGAACATTTGTTTTTGATTTTTTTTTATTTTAAATCAGAGCATTCTGAAGTAGGCAGTCTTGCTAAACTCTATGTTGCAACGGTTCCAAGAATAGCAACTGAAGAAACTGTAAGGCATTGTCATTTTTTTCACAATTTTTTATTCGCTATATGTCCGACACCCGCTTCCTTGAATCCATAACTTAAATGTGATGGGTGAAGTGGATTATGCTTCTTATAAGTATTAGTTCCTAATAGTATAACTTTCCCATAAGAGTTCTTTGAGTATGTGACATGAGTAACTATTGGATATTTTCTTGTTTTTGTTAGATTCGCTCCTTATTTCAAGAACATGGAAATGTTGTTCAGGTTATTCAACCAAAGGATAAGAAAACTGGTGAACGACATGGTATACAAATTTTATTATTCAAGAATTGATTGTGATTAATTTTATGCATACCTGGTGATGTTTATTCTATACAAAGTGCACAAACTGCATCCAGATACTTGGTTTTCCTAGACTAAATTGGCACCAGACAGTAGTCTTTTCTGTAATTCTATTGACGTGGGTGTAAATTGTGCTGTTTCAGGATATTGTTTTGTAAAATATGCAACATTTGAGGAAGCTGACAGAGCTATTACAGCTTTGCACAATCAGTATACTTTTCCTGGGGTAAGTTCTTTTGTCGCAATCTAATAAGTAGTCTTCCAAGGCTGTTGGTTACTGTTTTAATTTCTATGGGTAGTGGTTCACTTTTTAGTAAATGCTTTTTCCAGGAACTGACTACCGTTAAAGTCAGATATGCTGATGCTGAACGAGATCGCCTTGGTAAGTGTTTACTATTTAGAACATACATGTATTGCTTTTGGAACCTTTATTCTTGTTCATATGCACAATATGTCTACTATTTCATTCACATGATGAAAATCCTGCCATCCTTTTACATGTTTAACTGTTTATTCTGCTATAGACAATATGATTATGTTCTCAGAGGAGCCTATTATGCAAATGAGAATCACAGAATGAACATAAAAGGTTTTTCTGCTTGTATCTCGAAACTACTAGGATTATGTACTTTAAGTTGCTTGAAATAGTATCCTGCTGGCTCTAGTTGGAAAGGATTGCCTGCAAAATACATCTTGATTTGTAGAAGTATGGTTATGGAACATGTTAAGTATCAATTGTGCTTGTTTTGTGGAAAATCTTATTCTTTTTGTCTGTGTAGAGTATGAAGTTTTTGTTTAGCTTAGATGCACTCCCTTTTTAATGATTAGAAGTATCCTATTGTTTGATTGGGGGGTAATGATTCTCTCCATGGTATCCAGGAGGAAGGAATTAAAGTGCTATGGTGAATTTGGTGTCACCAAAATGAGGGGTTTCAGAATGTTAGTTTGTTACTCATTCTTTATCTCTACAGATTGAGTAGGTTTTATCCTTTGTGAGAAAAATCCTCTTTACTCTTTTTGCTTCTGTAGATTGAACAAATAAAACTATTGTAATATACTTTTAGATTTTATTGATCATAAGGTATCTTGCTGTGAAAAACATTTTTCATGGATCACAAGCCCTTCAAAACAAGGAAAAAGGCAAAAGAAACCTTCATGAGCACATGCTGTTAGGCCTTCACTTAGTCATATATATTGCTTTTGTAACTTTTTTCAATATTTTGCTAAGTATATAATTTCAACATTGTGATGACATTTTGCTTTCCTTCTCTGTCTTTATTTATCCTGAGTGCTTTATTTGTTTCTTGGCAGGGCTACTTCCAGACAAATTATATGTCGGTTGCTTAAACAAACAAGCTTCGAAAAGGGATATTGAAGAAGTATGTTCCGAATCCATTGAGAGCTCATGCTCAGTTGGTTGCACCTCTACAAGATAATTTCATTTCTCCTGTTTGATACGATTTCTTAAGTCTAATATGAGTTGTAGGTTAATCAATAACAGAGGTTTAAGATGGAGGGAGGGGGGGGGGCGGGGGGGGTGTGGCTGTACATTTTGCCCAGGGATTTAGCAATTGCCAAATGTATATGCTGTGCATTTCATTCCATTGCACTGGCAATGTGATGAAGCAGCCCATGGGCAAGAATATTCTGCAATTGCACTTGCTTGCATGACTGTGAATACGTGCATGATATTTCTATTTGCATAATTCGTTTAGGTAACGGACTAACTTTATTCTGCTTAGGTTATATGGATGCATGGGTGTGTATGCATGCATGTCAATACTTACCAGCCTGGCTCAGATTATGTAGGATTTTGCATTTGATTCATAACCTGTCTCCCAAAATGTTGCTATCTCTTTGTTGGTTTTTGTCATTCACATGTCAATAATTCACTGAAAAAATAACATGAACCTCTTTTGTTCTTTTCTCAAAGTCAACTTTTGTCATATTGTACTTTCTTAATTGACTTTTGTGAGGTATCTTTTGAATATTTCTTCTGTCAGATATTTTCTCCTTATGGTAATGTTCAAGACATCTACATCGTGCGTGATGAGCACAGGGAAAATCGTGGTTTGTTCTTATCCCTATTATATCTCTTTCTCAACAGTCAATTTCCAAACTGCTTGCTTAGAATGGACATACTGGAAAACGTGTTTACTTTATATGCCAATGTAGTCTCCATAAATTAACCCCAGGCTTAAAATTGAAATTTGAATGATATATCTAGTTGTCTTATCTTTTAGTTTGGATTTGTAGGTCTTTTGAATAATTTGGTTTTCATACACTTAGGGCACAAAAAATTTCACCCCTATATAATCATTGCCATTTTTTTTTATAAAAGAAAAACTCTTTTCCACTTTGATTAATGTAAAAGAGTGTGTGGAATTATGATTTTGTCAAGAAATATAGGCATCATTATAATTTTCTAGTGATTTCTTGTGATATGCTTCTTCTGTAGACCTAAAACACTCTTAATCAAAAGTTAAATATGTTATAAGATTAAAGACTCATCAAGCCCATTGCTAGACCATCTTTTCTTGATTTCTTTAGCTATGCATGTTTCAATTCCTTTTCTCCTTTTTGAATCATGGCAATTTGTTAGTGACTATTATCAAGCTTTCAATATGTCTGCTTCTGAAATAGATGTTTATGCTTTTCTGAAGGGTGCGGATTTATTCAATTTTCTCGTAGAGAAATGGCTCTGGCAGCAATCAAGGGATTAAATGGAATTTTCACTATGAAAGTAATGCATGTTGATTATCGTTTTGTTATGTATACCTACTTTACTTCTGCCAATGAAGATTACTGATTCAGTTGCTTGTTTTCATCCCCTTCCCTCTTTAAGGGTTGTGACCAGCCATTGATTGTTCGATTTGCAAATCCGAAGAGACCCCGGAATGGAGAACCAAGGTTTGCTCCTTGAGACGTTATTTTGTTTCATAATTGTGAGAATTGTTAATTTATGCTTTGTGTGTCACTATCAGATTATGAATGAATTACGTTTATGGTCATGCCAGAGACTTAACTGATTGCCATTTGATTGGATGTCTAATGTACATACTTTAAGATCTGTTTATGAATATTCATATCAGGCTTGCTAGTTGGAGATTGCATCAACCTGCTATGAAGCAAAACCAATTTGGTAGTTTTGGTTCTACTATCTTCGATTGTAATGCATACATCAGAATTATTTTTGGCAATAACTTTCGAAGTTGGGGTTCTTGTACTTGAAGCCCAGAAGCATTGGTTTGTATTTGTTAATCAACTGGAACCAAAAGCAGATGTTGAGTTTTGTTGATGGAAACATGATTTATTGTCTCATTTGGCTTACAACTGCATGCTCTAATGATATGTTTAAGTTGGTACAACTAAACAAATTCATATTTAAACTATGTTAGCAAATTGTTGCACTTGCTTTCTTTCCAGGGTAAATTATATGTTTAACAGCATAAATGCTGGCTCCCATCCTCAAGAGTTGACTATGAGGTAACCTTGTCCCCTACTTGTCCATTATCTGTTACTATTTTCTTGTTCAATAGATTTGATCGAGCTTCCATTTTGTTGTTTACTTGCTCCAGACCTGTGCCAAATGGCCCAAATCTTGGTGACCCAATGGCAGGACGTATACCACCTAATGCATCATACCCTGTGCAACACGTTTTGACAAATTCACAACCACAGAGTGTTTCTCATTGGGCAAACCCTGAAGTTGCAGCATCTCATGTTACTCATCAATCTTATCCTCCAGTACAGCAAGCACAATCACAGGCGACTTCCTTGCCGTTACAGCAAATACAAACTCCTCAGGAAAGTTCTCAATCATCTCACCAATCTGTCTCTGAGCAGAAACAATTACCTCCGATGCCACCATCATCACAAAATGTAGGCCAGCAGAATTCATATGTACCCAAGCTAGAGGTAATTCGATAATGGAGTATATGTGATTTTATTTTCTTGTTACTAGAAAAATATTTCAAGTCTTGGTTTGCTTACAGTTAGACCCATGTGTTATAACTCATGTTGATCACTTTATACATTTATGGATCTCAAGAAATTTAAAAATTCAAAAAAAGAAAAGTTCATATCAATAAACTGTTAATTCTAGAGTGCTGAGTAGAGGTTGCTGGAGAGGCTAATCTAATATTGGCTCTTTTATCCATCAATGCTCCTAAGATTTGGCTTGACTGAGGCATTATAGATGGCATTATGAGTCAAAGATACTGCATGCTTCTTATGAATCCATGCCCCCTTTGATGGATATGCACTTCCTGGATCATACTTGTCTAAAAGAGAAACTGCTCCATGCTAGTCACTAGCCTAATAGATACACTGCTGCAATATAATTAACAACAATTAAAAAATCCATGAGGTCTGAGATTGTTCTGGGTATTTCTGTATTTCCTAATAAAAGAAAAGGAGTTTTCCAAATTTTCAGAGCCTTAACAAGCTGCATCGGTAGAAAGAACTCTTGAATTTAATAGAAAATAGATGTAGTTCTCAGGTCACTTGCATGCTTATTATTGGTTATTGGGATAATGATTTATTGAATTGAGATGCCTGACAGGTAATGCCCATGCAGATGCCTGTCAAAAGGATTCACTTCAAAATGTTGACAGCATTATCTTTTGATTTCCTTCTCTGTTTTATCCCAAAAAAAAAAAAAGATTCCTTCTCTGTTTATTTTCCCCTCGTATGATGGTGTGCTGTTAATTGAATATTCTACTCCAATGTAACACATTTCTCCAGTCTCCACAGACTGGAAGTAGCCAGACAAATGCTGCTACTTCAGTTGCATCCACAACCCAAAGTCTTGAGACAGTGGCTCCACTAGAATGCGACTGGAGCGAACACACCTGCCCAGATGGATACAAGTATTACTATAATTGTGTCACTTGTGAAAGCAGAGTAAGTTTCATGCCTTATATATCATTGTTGCATTTTGCAGTTTTAGATTTTCTTTCAATTTGAGCAATCTATGTAAAATTCATGTTGCAGTGGAAGAAGCCTGAGGAATTCATGTTATTTGAGAAACTGTTGCAGAAGCAGCAAAAGCTGCAACATCCTGGCCAACGGCTTCATTCTCACTCAACCATTCCTTCTACAGAACAAGTTATTCAAAATCAAGAGGTGCAGCTTCAGACCTGTCTCATGCATCAGAAATTTAAGGTCTAACAACCTTTGTCTACATTGGTCAGGATTTGTTCTTTTTTTCTTCTGACATATATCTTAATTATTCCCATTGCACCATGTCTTCAACCCGGAGACATGGAGGTAAATGTAACTGAAGAGTATCTATATGGATGTTTTAATTTTCTACAAAACTCAACTTTTGTTGATGTGTTTTGCATCTGTGGAAGCTTTATGTCATACTCTGTTCTCTTATTATGGCATTTTCTAAATGAAGGTATATTTGCTGAAATTCAGTATTTTCTGATTTTTCAGGAAGTGGACCATCTGCAAATCAAGGCAGAAACAAGTCCAATTGTTGATCCAACTTGTGTTTAACTTGTATCTGGTGCGAGCCTCTTAATTACTTAATCTGATTGAACTGTAGGTCATTGGTTGTCCATTTTCTATAAGCCTCTCATGCTATTTCCATTCTATAAACAACTTGCTATTTGTGATGATAGTATGAAACACATATGGAGATTAGGCACATATGCAATGCTTTAGAACAGTCACTCTCCTCAACCACACCATCTTCTCTCTCTCTCTCTCTCAATTGTAATTACAGTAGCTATAACTTAGGCTTCATTCTGATAAATGAAATCTGATGATTTTGGCCGTGCAGAGAACCTTTTAGAACCACGAAGTGAATCTTCAAGGATTATGTTTTTCTGCATTTTTCATTGTTTTTCGTTTATTTGCTGTTATTATTCTCAAAACCAAGCACACAAAGCGGGATAATTTAATTTAGGAATAGTGGAAGCCGCTTTGTAAGGCATGCATATTAGACTCGAGGGAGGGAGGGAGGTTGCTGACATTGCTTTCTGAGTGATTCTTTGTGGGACATCATCTAGTTGTTATTAGGCTACATAGGTTTTGATTTTTATTTATAATAATTAATTTATTTTTCATCACCTTCCTTGCGTCGCATCTTTCCTGGCTAACAGTGGTTAAATGTTGGTAGGTTAACTTGAAGACTGCTTATGTAATTACAACCCTGTTAATGAAATAAAGATTTTTATTTGTGTTCGTTAACTTATGTACACGAGATTTTCACTTAGAGATTGATTGTTGGATATGTTGCTTTAAATATTATATCCATTGCTATATGTATGTTGTTTTGTTGCAGTTTTTAATGTTCATTGTACAGAATGAAAATATGGAAATTTACAGCTATGTAAGGAAGTTTGTAAATGTTGTTAACCCCATTGCGGTGACCATCTTCTGGGAAGCATGTGGAAATGTAACTGCTGTCAGGCCAAGATTCCTTATGTCCTTGTTGCATAGGAATTTTCTTGGGGGTTATTTGTAGGCCGAACCTTAGGCCTCGCGTCACGCTTTCACCCTTTGGTAACCTATGAATTAATTGCAGACTAAGGTTAACTATTCTTTTGTCGTGGCTAGCCAAAAGGCCTAGGGTAGGGCCATTCAAGAGTGTACCATTCAGAACCTGATATATCGTCCTACGTTGCTTTTGTTGCTGCGACAAATTTTCTTAACTAGGATAAAAATGGTCATTATTACATTATTACGGTGTAATAATAAAGTAACAGTCTTGTGCGGCCGGTGGCGATAGTAGGTGGTAGGCCCTTGGAATCACGTAATGGACTATCTGACTAACAGGCACGAGGTTATCGTATTAGCTAAATGAAAGGCTGCTAATCTGCCCTTTTGCCATCACCATGTTTTTCTCAATCATCAGCCTGGCAGCAATATTCTTAACAGTGACAATTTCACATGGCCAGCAGACATACAACCACAAAGAAACAGTGGATAGCGATGTGAAATCCTGCCCCATGATTAAGAATAAAAGAATCAAGCTTCCATAGTGCATGTCTATGTAAATGGATTTCTTCGTCCTTCTATACACCGAATCCCCACCCTCACCATTCAATGAACCAAATCTATGAGCAATGGGTTCCATAGCATGGACGCAAGAAGAGTAGAGTTATTTATGTAACTTAGGCTAAAAGGTAGTCTAGTCGAGTTTATTGTTCCATCTGCCCCGAGCATATTTAGATACAGCACATTTAATTTTCTTTCTCACCAAATCCTTACAATTTGCAGGCCTCAGTGCCACGAAAAAAAAATTGGATTTCGTTGATTCCCAGACAAATAGAAAGCTTTCCAGCTCCCACATTAATTGCTCTCTGAAGAAAACCCCAGCCCCTCAAAATCTCGACTGCAGTACTTTCAATGGGGGAATCAATGCACATTCCTTCTACAACAAAAACAAAGATATAGGACAAACGAGGAGTCAGAAGAATTAAAGAAGAAAGAACCAAATTTCCGTGGCGTATAATCTCTACATATCCAGAACCACCATATGAGGCAAAAATGAAAAAAAAAAAAAAAAGAAAGAAAAGAAACCAATCCCAAATAAGAAAGTAATTCTTGCATTGGATCAAAAAGTAGAACCAAGTTACAGTAATAATATTCATCAAGGTTTGTATAAAGGGGTAGCGGGTTCCTTCTACAAGAAAAATCGCCACCTGTCAGCAAGAAAATTACATACCAGTGAACTGATTTCCATATACACCTCCTTTCACCCAAGTCAGAGAGAGAATTACATAGCGGTAATGGATTGTTCTAATCTACTCTTCTTTCAGCATGTGGGATGGTATAATGTCCTGAAGAAGGCCGTGGTCTTTAAGCAAAGAGGCCCCTGGAGTGCAAAAACGCCTCTCATGAAGAAAACTGGCATTAATATTGGAACCATTATGGCCAAAGCTCAAAGGAGACAAGCCATTGCCAAATGGCTGCTGATAGTGAGATGGAGTCCTTTGCATTGGCATGCCAAAAGTTGCTGCGGCTCCGGCGGAGATACCTGGAGTCAGATGAGAGCCACCGAGACTGGGACGAGGAATGACTGGGCTGGGATGAGTGTGTTGACCTTCGTAAGTGGTTACCACAATGCTTGGATCACTGAAAGATCTCTCGACTCTTTTCTTCACATTACATGAGGTGGTGGTGCAACGATAATAACTCCTTGGAAAATTAGAAACAGCACAAATGAACCCATCAAAAATTGTTGTCTGAAATTTTATGTAAAGTGGTAAAAGAAGAGCATACAGAATGAGGGGACTAAAATGGGTTAAACATTGAAGTTAGTACCTAGGAAAGGGGCTGTTTTTTACAGCTTTTTGGCCGTACTTTCTCCATCTGTACCCATCTTCCAAATGATCAACCTCGCTCTTTGTCATGAACGCGAATCTCGGCTCTCTCTGTCTCTTCTGATTTGTCTTCTTGGGTTTCAACCTAGACCCACCATCACAAACGCCAAAAGCAAAAAAATCCAACAATTCTTCATCAGCTTCAAATCACTTTGATGGAAAACAAAAAAACTCATTTCTTTTCCAAATTAGTTTCCAAATGGGGTTTCTGTTATGCAGTAAACCAAAACACAAACTCAAACATAGACACCAAAGACCCATCTATGTCTTGGTCGTTTCTTCCACGGATTTCTCCTCTCTCGCTTTATTTTTTTTTTCCTAAAAGAAAAGAAATAAAAAGAGAACAAAATCTTTTAAAATAGAAAAGACAAGAAACTCACTGTTTTCTGTTTTTTTGCTGGTCTTCTTCTTGGTCTACTCCTTTAACAGGATCATCATTGACAGCCTCACTCGATGCTGATGAAATCGAGGAAGAGTTTGGAGTAGCAGGCTGATTAAAAACCTCAGAAGGAGACTCGATCTTCGTCGAAGTTGGATTCGGAAGTTGGGTTGCAAGAGATGGTACCTGCTGTGCGATATCGAATAAAGGAGTACTACTCAAGTCTTGAACACCCAGTAACTCCATAAACCCTAATGGCATCTTCTCTCCTTCACTCAAATCAAATATACTTTGTAATGGGAAACTATTCGCTATATAATCAGAAAACGGTGATGAGTTTCCCACAACATCTTCCATCTTTACACCCTCTTTTCTCTCCATGGATCAATCAAAACTCCAATTTTCTGTTCATCAAAAAACTTGCACTCACAAGAGAAAGGAATAGAAAGAGAGAGAGTGAAGCTTTGTTCAGTGAAAGAGAAAGAAAGAGTCGAGTAGGGTTTGATCTGATTTATAAGGTTGGTGAAAGAGAGAGAGTTTTAGGTTTAGAAGAAAGTGAGATTTTTAGCTATAGGAAAATGAAGAGAAGGAGAGAGAGAGAGCTATAATAATGGGTTGGCAAAATGGCAACAAAAGAATTGACTGGCAATTGTAGGTCAAATTTTTGTACGGGCATTCAACAGTGCCGGTAGCCGTTCAACGCATAAGCTCATCGTTGGTCCTACTGTATGGTCGACCCTTTCATACGTAGATTTTGACCGGTTAACTGGTTCACATGGCGTGAACGGCGTAAAACCCTTTTGGCTTTGGAAAACTCGGCCCCCTTGTTTGTCCCCTCTGTATTCTTGCTCCCCTGCGTCTACGTGTAAATCAAATAAAGATAGATAAAATGAAAAAAAAAATATATGAAAATAATATCCTTTTTAATATATTAAAAATCATCCCATTAAATGTTAATTATTATATTTAATATTAAAACATTACTATAAATAGTATTTTAACTAATTTCAAAGAATATTCTAAAATTAAAATATTCAAAATTGTGATTTTTTAATTTCAACATTTAAATTTTATATTATTTACACACAATATCATTATTTTTACTTTAATTTTGAATCATTTCACACGATTCTAAAGTAAATTTGTATAAGATATTCTCTTTCTTCTTGTTTTAATAAAATGATGTGGACGTTGTAATCTTTTAGGCTTGTATTTTCTTATTAAAAGGCAACGTGTATGGTGGTGAATTTTGTTAAAGAGGATAAGATAACGTATTAATGTAATGTTTCGCTTAATAAAGTGCGAGGGGACTTTCATCCTATAAGCAAAAAGATAATGTAGGGACTACGTTCTATTATTTAAACTAACTAACATTATAATAATCTTAATTTCATTGTTAGTGTAAGGTCATTCTACTGTTTGAATGATTTATGATTTGGACCATGACTCTACTACTATCAGAAAATATCCATGGTTTGTACATTTTCCCTATCTCACACGAGGATTCTACCTTTTCTAAGAATTCGAAATAATTCTCTCATTGAATTGCGGCAGCCGAAACAAATTCTTTCTTTGGAACTTAATAGGAATTAGGCGCTAACCGGCTGGAAATATGTAGTGGTTTTGTCCGCTTACAAAGAACCTGAACCAGGAAAGATTCAACATGAAAGGTGTGAAATAAGGGTATAAATATTTTGGCATATATGCTCAATATTCACTTATTCAGTCGGTGATAATGGCTGCCTTTCCTTTCGAAGCCAGCGGAAATCCCCATGAAAAAGGCAAACGAAAGAAAGAAGAAGATCACAATTCTCCTCCCCTTTTCTTTTCCTTTTTTTTTCACTTTATCTTTGGGTTGGGAAGAAATATGTCAGAAAGAAAACACAAGATGATGCACGTGCGGTGTACCGTGGGGACACAAAGGTGGTCGCACGCTGACATAATTTGCGTGTAAGCTCGACTTACCTTTGCATGCTTCAATAATTCGGTTCCTAACTTTTTTGGGTAAAGATTAATTAAGATTGTTCTTTTCACACATCATTTTTTTGAGTAAATACGGACAACTCTATAAAGTACTGATCTCTCTTACT